ATATATATACATACATACACACATACATATGCATGCAAATATAAGTGGTACAATAAAAAATGAAATATACTGAATATTTTATTCAAGTATTTTAACCAAGTGTGGCTGATAAAGTACAAAAATAAAAAACAATAACAGACTTTAAATGTAATTTTCAGATTCTATAATCCTCTGAATATGAAGTTTGTAAAAAAAATTAAATAATTAAAATCTTTTTTTTAACTTTTGTTTTGTAATTTGACGTGAGAAGCATCATTTCTTGTGTCTCCTGTGATTCTCCTCAATCGTCTTTTGTCTGCAGTGGGAGGACATCCGTGTTCTGGGCACCGCTTTCCTGCCAGGCCACCGATCCATGAACCCGTGCCCGGTCTACGATGAGTTCACGGGCACTCTCTTTCTGTTCTTCATCGCTGTTCTGGGTCACACCTCAGAGTCCTACCAGCTGGTGACAGGGAAGAACGTGACCAGACTGTGCTACGTCTCCAGCACTGATGATGGTGACACCTGGAGTCCTGTCACCGACCTCACCAAGAAGGTCATAGGAGACACTATTAAAGGTGAGGCTCATTCGAAAAAGCATTGTGGTATTATTTATCTCCAGTTAAATTGGAAACAGCCTCTTTGTCTTCAACAAAAAGATCTAAGTAAGAGTCACAAGATGACAAAATCCACAGTCCTAATAGTTTCACTGCTTCCTTCCTGGCAGAATGGGCCACCTTCGCTCTCGGCCCGGGCCACGGCATCCAGCTGAAGTCGGGTCGTTTGCTCATTCCTGCCTACGCCTACCACATCGAGTGCAAAGAGTGCTTCGGGCACCTCTGCCAGACCACTCCCCACTCATTCTGCTTTCACAGTGACACCCACGGGAGAACCTGGCGCTTTGGAGAGGCGGTCCCAGGACCAGAGACCGTGGAGTGTCAGATGGTGTCTGTGGACGAAGAGGATGGGACTAACGTGTTATACTGTAATGCTCGAAGCCCTCTCGGGTACAGAGTGCAGGCCCTCAGTCTGGATGATGGAGCCGTGTTCCAGGAGGGGCAGCTGGTGCAGCGGTTGGTGGAGCCTCGAAATGGTTGTCATGGGAGTATTATTGGATTTCCTGCCCCGTTAAATCTGTGTCAGAGTCTTAGCAACGATTTGCAGCAACCTGTACGGCTCTCACGACACTGGACATCCTGCACCATAGAGTCCAGTCTCTCCAAGTCAACTACCAGCTCTGTAGCCTTTTCAGTGTCAGCAAACAGCTCCAGCACCACCAGCTCCATCCCACCTCCTCATGAAGCCCCTCCGGATTTCCTGACTCCTACGTGGGTAGTATATTCCCACCCAACATGGACGACTGCACGCAAAAACCTGGGCTTGTTCCTCAGCCTTTTCCCCCGTGATCCAGACAGCTGGCGTGGCCCCTGGGTGATCTATGATGGGCCGAGCGCATACTCTGACCTGGCCTACCTGGAGCTGTCACCCTCACCTGGAGCCCCACCTGCTGTGGCCTTCGCCTGCCTGTTTGAGTGTGGTACCAAAACAGCTTACGACGAAATCTGCTTCAGCATCTTCACCCTCTACGAGCTCATCGATAATCTGCCCCGGGACGTCTGGCTGGAAACAAACAACGAAGGACACAGAAAACAGCAGGGGAGGAGCTGCAGACGTGATGCTCAAAGTGCAGCAGTTTCCCAACAGGTGACTCCTGTGAAGAAGAGGAGGAAGAAGAGCAAGCTGGCTGAGATGTGCTCTGTGTCTTAATGTAGATTTTAAACTTGTGATACAAGTCGTCCATTAACTGTTTCTTATATTATGCTTCACTTTCTTATTTGGACCTTTGCAGACTGAAATGTTCTCAGATTTCATAAAATTCAGATTTTGACACAAATATAGAGCTAACACTTCACAAAAGCGCCTCAGGTCTGCAAAAGGGAAGTTAAAACTCTAAAGACGTCGCTCAGTTTTCCCCACCCCTCCACCACTGTGGTCACAGCTGGCATGAGGTTTCTGGGTTTTGTCCCAACGTGGTGCTTTATGTGCATTATGATCAAACATCTCCATTTTGGTCTCATCTGTTCAAAGCACATTGTTCCAGAACTTATTCAGATGCAGCTTTGCAAACCTAAGCTGTGCTGCCTTCTTTTTAGAAGCAAGAGACTTCTGGAAACCCTTCCAACCAAGCTGTATTGTACTTGTTCAGTCTTTTTCTAATTATGCTATTATGAACTTTAACATAACCAACTGAGGCCTGTTGAGTCTGAGCAGTAGCTCATTGTTTGATCTGAACCAGGGGTGAATCGTAATTCCTATGCAAGCAGTGAAGGTGTCCTTAGTTATTGACAGGACTGCACAGACTCCTGTGAAAGCTTTCTTTTTCACGACTCTATGTCCAAAAACATGTTTTGTAAGGGTAATCGTGACCTCTGAAATACCCTTCTAAAATAAGATGTTCAACAGAATAGGAGGGAGAATGCCTTCATGTCTCAGGTCATAACTGTCACTTGGATAAAAAGTAAACATTTAAGTTCACAGAGGAAAAGAATTCAGGACTGAGCTGAAGTGTTGGACTGACACTGAGAAGGTGGAGCACTCGCTGAGCTTCTGTCCACCATATTTTCCATCACATTGTGCACACAAGTGACAAAATAGATTTTTCTGATGTGTCACGTTTTAATTTGCAATAAAACGTGCAATAAAAATCTTTCACTTCCTAAAGTGTTGTGTTGTTTTTGTTGCAATCTTCCCTTTGCTTTTCCTTTGCTGTCCGGTGGAAGTGGGTTGTTTGTTTTTCCATCCATCCATCCATCCATCTTCATCCGCTTTGTCCGGGGCCGGGTCGCGGGGGCAGCAGCCTAAGCAAAGAGGCCCAGACCTCCCTCTCCCCAGCCACCTCCTCCAGCTCATCCGGGGGAACACCAAGGCGTTCCCAGGCCAGCCGAGAGATATAATCTCTCCAGCGTGTCCTGGGTCTGCCCCGGGGCCTCCTCCCGGTGGGACATGCCTGGAACACCTCACCCAGGAGGCATCCTTACCAGATGCCCAAACCACCTCAGCTGGCTCCTTTCGATGTGGAGCAGCAGCGGCTCTACTCTGAGCCCCTCCCGGATGGCCGAACTTCTCACCCTATCTCTAAGGGAGATGCCAGCCACCCTTCGGAGGAAGCTCATTTCCGCCGCTTGTATCCGCGATCTCGTCCTTTCGGTCACTACCCACAGCTCGTGGCCATAGGTGAGGGTAGGGACGTAGATCGACCGGTAAATTGAGAGCTTCGCTTTTACACTCAGCTCCCTCTTCACCACGACGGACCGGTGCAGCGTCTGCATTACAGCCCCAATCCGTCTGTCGATCTCCGGCTCCCTTCTCCCATCACTCGCGAACAAGACCCCGAGATACTTGAACTCCTCCACTTGGGGGTGTTTGTTTTTCCAGTCAATGGAAAATTAATATGCAACCATTATTGTTCATTTACCGTCAGTAAACTGAATATTTAAGAATGGCAGCTGTTGAAAAGCAGCATTTCATTTTCCATTTCATTGACTAATCCGTGAACAAACATAATGAGTCAAATGGGAGCCAGAGCTTTTAGATAGCAAATCCAGGAGCTAGAACATGCTATCAGGGTTGTTCCTGTGAATTAGTGTCAGATTATTCTTTGCAACAGTCCATTTTGTCCTACAGGTCTGTGTCCAATCTGTTCTTTTTCCTCTCCCAGTCAGTTAACGGGATAAAAGTCGACAGAAACAATCTTACAGTGACGTCTGTGGGCACGTCCCAAATGTGTTTCCTGAACTACGGCTTTCAAGGTCAACAAAAGCATTTGTTTTATTAAAAAAAAATTATTGTTCACAAAATGTGAAATGCAGACCACCTAGTTTTAAACATTTTTCAGTTTTTCCTTTGGCAAGCTGATATTGGACAGAAACATGTTTAATCTGGCAAAGTCTTCCTCCCCTAAATTTAAAGTGACAAACAGCAGCCCAGCGCCAAGCTTTCTGATTAATCACACCTGCAGCTTGAGAGCACAGTAGATAAAGTTTGTTTGGATACAGATTGCTGCAGGAAGACAGCAGGATCTGGACAGTCTCTTCCCTCTGCTTCCTCCTCCTCTTTACATAGCTCCACTCGCACAGGACAGTCATTTCCCCGCCTGCGCTCTTCCACTGAAGTCGTTACTGGTTTTCTCCCAGCGTCCCGTTTGAAATAATGAGGCTCGTCGTCGTTCTGGCTGTGTTAATGGGAGTAAGTGGGATTCCCGACGTGACAATCAGCCCTCCGACTGCCTCAGCGGACACGTCAGCTCATCCCAACAGCATACCTGAGACGGCGGATGAATCTGAGCAGGTGAGGAGCAACCCGGTGGACGACTGTTGTGCTGTGGTTTGTGTTGCTTAGTAGCTGGATTTGAAGGGAGGGATGAAATGTTTCTAAGATGTTATTGTGCAATGACTGACACACAGACTCATGCAAGTACATTTGAAGGTAATACGTCTTTGTTGCAGTCATTATAACATAAAGACCTTTCTGTACATAGTACAAAAGCCATTATAAGCTCAAGTCAAAACTCTGAGCTTAAACGCTGCCTGCAGACTTAACTGTTGCTAAAATGCAGGTAATAAATAGTCTTTCCACATGAGGCAGACATTGGGGGGGGGGGGGATTAAACAACTAAAGGAAAGTAAAATCTTGTTTTTGTGTAGAGCCGTGGTTGAGGATGAGGAGAAAATGATGAGTTCAGCTCTTCCACTTGTTCTTCTTCGCTGGCAGCTGTCCTGTAGCCTCCAAGTATTTGTGGATGAGTTCTTCTTGTGTGGCGGGCAGGCAGGGCTGATATCTGCTGTACTCCATTGTGTACTCTCCTTTCCCCTGAATAAACAATGACACAACATGTTAGCAATTCAGCTGTCTTCTTCTACAAACCATGTCTGATTTCAAGAATTTCCTCTATTTTTGTCCTTGCACATCTCCAATCCATCTAATTTTTCTCGCTAAAAACTCTTTGAACCATATCTAGTTGCCAAAATCCAGGACCTGATCAACACTAGGGGTGGGGGAAAAAATCGATACTGTGTAGTATCGTGATATTTTGTTTGCTAATAATGTATCGATACA